CCAGAAAGGAGCAGCAAGTGCCAAGGGCTTGGGGCAGGACAAGAGCCTGTGTCTGAGGCCCTGCGGGCTGGCTGGTATCATGAGAAGCAGCAAATTCTTAGGTCATAGGGAGGGTGGGAGGGAGGGAGACGCAAGAGGGAAGAGATATGGGAACATATGTATATGTATAACTGACTCACTTTGTTATAAAGCAGAAACTAACACACCATTGTAAAGCAATTCTACTCTAATAAAGATGTAAAAAAAAAAAGTTCTTAGGGCAACTGTGTGAGCCGACTACCACCATTGCCCCACTTTAGAGATGAGAAAACTGAGATTTGGAGTATTTATGTCTTTGTTCAAAAGTTTTGCTGCAGATGTGTTAACGAGTTCGATTACGGGGGTGCCCCACCCTTCATTGGCAGTATTAGGAGCGATGTGGTCTATGTGTCATGCTTTCCTCCTACAACTGGAAACATTCTGAGCTCTGGACCCATCCGCCCAGGGATTTGGGGTCCGGGATGGTGGGCCTGTGTGGTCTTCACCATAAGTGCTCCTGTACCATCCCCATCAGCCTTATATCATGTCCCTGTTCCTGTTCTTCTCCTCTTCCAGCCTGTGAACTCCCAGCGTCAGATACACAGTTCAGCGTTTCAGTCTAGAGACGGGAGGTGCTGTCTCTGCATGTCCATGGCTCCCGGTTAGGCCCAGGCTTCGCATTCCAAGTCAAGACCCAGGCCCATTGCTGCAGGCAGGCCCGGAGGTGGCAGGCTGGGAGCTCATCGGTGGATCTGCCAGTGTTGGCCACTGGCGGCCGAGAGGCGTACAGGCGTGGACTCACGCTGTCTGACATTTTTGTCGATGGCCTGGATGAGGACTGAATGGTGAGAGTCCCCCTTCTGTTTCCAGCTGGGGGCGGAGGGTGTAAGCAGCCTACGGGGAAGGAGTCGGTGCAGAATCAAAATGACTCTGCAGACTGGAAGAGCGGCTGGAGATGAGGACAGATCTGCTTGGGAAGGAAAACCCGGTCAACAGCGGCCTCCTCCTGGCCTCCTCCCCAGCCTCCCTGCCTCCAGCTTTGCCCCTTTAATCCATCCTGCAAAGGTTCCAGATGAATCTTCCCAGTTAATCTTCCTACCTGAGCTGCCCAACCTTCGCTGCTGACCTCGCTTCCAAAGGCCACTTGGTACCTGGCCCCACTGTCTCCTTCCCAGAGCACACACCTGGCTCCCCTCACCTCCACGCCTTCGTCCTCACTATGTCCACGTCTGGAATGCCACTGAAGGCAAACACATGGGCCAACCCCCAACATCAGAGGAGACCATCCTTCTAAAACTCCTCAGGGTCTCTCTCTGATCCACCCAGCCTACCCCATTCCACATCCTCCTGGTTATGACAGCCCTGCAGTTCCCTAACCAGCCTCCCCGCCTTGGGATAGGTCCCACCTCCCAGCAGCCTGGCAGTTGAGGCCCTTCCTAATTGCAGCTCCAGCCTCATGGCTCCCCCAACTCCCTCCTTGGCCCCTGCATCTGTTCAGTCCAACAAAGCTGCTTAGGGACCTCTGGTTCTCTGAGATGACCCTGTTCCTCTCTCACTTAGGGGCCTTCTTATGTGTGGTTCCCTCTGCCTGGAACACCTTTCCCTTCCCTCTTAAGCTGCCCAACTCTTATGTATCCTCCAGGACAGTGTTGATTCAACCTCCTCCAGGAAGCCTTCTTGGATTCAGGGTCCCTCCCCTTGACCCCCAGAGGCCCTGCCTCCCTCACATCATCATAATTCCCCGTCTACTTTGAAAGTGACTGATTTGCCAGTTCCCTCTAGGCCAGGGTCTCATGAGGACAGAGCCCCACATTGTCTCCCCCAGCCTAGCCAGGGCTCAAGAAAGCCCAGAGGGAAGAAGTCGGAAATGGAATCGCAACATTTATTGAGCTTTTACTCAAGGCCAAGCCTTTCATGTGCAGCACGTGGATTACTAGGCCTTTCTGAAGTGGAGTTAGGTCACCATCTGGCCACACCCAGCAGCCCTGGGCTATTCTCCTTTAATGTAAATAATGGGCAGAATCCCGGATCCTATCTAACAGCATTATGAGGATAAAGGGAATAGTACCTGTAAAGTGCTAATCTCAGCCACAGGTATTCAGTAAGCATTTAATGCTCCTATTGCTATTAATTACTGGGGCTCTGGAGCCAGCCTCTGTGGCTTCAAATCTAGGCTCCTCCACTTGCTTGGCTTTGTGACTTTGGGCAAGTTACTTAACCTCTCTGGGCCTCGGTTTCCTCATCTGTAAAATGGGACAAATCATAGGCTTCTGCGCACGTGTGTGCTTTCTCTCTCTCTCTCTCTCTCTCTCCCTCTCTCTCTCTGCTGTTGGGAGGATTAAATAAATGGCGCGGGGAGAGGGCCGAGCAAAGGCTGCCTGTTATTATTACTGTCTCAAAATCACACTGAGGGTCTCGATTCTGATCCCAGTGAGGACATTCCAGATTCTGGAAAATCTTCCAGAATTACTGGTCTGAGTTGGGGCAGGGACAAATCTTAGAACTTGTGAAAATTCACTTCCCACCCCCTGTATCTCCTGAAAGCACTCTATCCACGGCTGATGGTCAGAGTCACCAGGAGGTTCTTCCTTGGACCTCTGGTGATTCCTCTGGGTTCCCATCCAAGCCTGGATGGAAGGAGGAGGGGAGGAGCCGATGAATCCCAGAGCTTCCCAGCTCAGCACAGAATCCAGCAAGGTGAGCGGCCTGGGCTCCTGGGGGGCCGACAGTCCGGAGGGTTTGCTGGGCTCAGTCTCCTCCAAGGCCTCCCAGCCACAGCCCATGCAAAAACACTTTTGTTCCCTGATTTCAGGCCTGGGGACCAAAAGGGGCGCGTGTGAGTCTGAGGGTGGGAGGGGGAGAGGGAGAGAGAGAGGTAGGGTCTGAGCAGGAGAGAGCCAGGACAGACGGGGACCCCGGGCAGCCAGAGAGGGGAAGGGGTGTGGGAAACACAGGGCGTGGGGCAGGGCCGGCAGCGCTGGGAAAGGGAGCCTCGGGGAGGCCAGCGAGGCGCGGGAGAGGGAGGCCTCATACCAGACACTGTCTAGACGCAGCAATTATTGTCAGCTCGGAACACCCAGGCTCTGCCGGCTCAGCTGAAAGGGAGCGTAACAAAGGGCCGAGAGAGGAAGAAAGCGGGGAGGAAGGCGCCCGCGGAGCCGGCTCCTCGCCTGTCGGGCTCTTTCTCTGCCCGGCTTACCCCCCTTTGTGCTCCATCGATGTGAAAGCCAGCTCAGAGATGCCTGATGGGGACCCGGCTCCTCCTGGGCCCAGACGGCCAGGCCAGAGTCACTGTGTGTGGGTTTTGGGGAGGGAGAGAAGGGTGTCCTGGCGGGGAAATGCATTTTGCACTTGAGTTTCTTTATTTGGAGGGCGGTGGGAACCGAATCCCAAATCCCAGCAGGCCTGAGAATGTGAACCCTTCCTTTTGTGTAGGGCCAGTTACAGATTTCTCTGAGCCTCTGTTTTCTCATCTGCAAAATGGGAACAATACCACCACCTGACCCGTGGCAAGTCCAATTCTCTTCCACGTTGGAGGGCTGCAGCCCACACCCCTCTTCGTCGTACCGATGGGGAAGCTTCAGGGCCCCAAGTGAACTGGGACAGGCCCCTTTCCTTGCTAAAGGCCTTACCTCCATAGTTTCTCTGCCTCTGCCATTATTATCCCCATTTTGCCGATGAAGAAACTGAGGCACAGAGGCCAGAGCTCTCAGCCCACCAGGCAGCAATGGGTATGGATTCAGGTTTGTTTGTTAATCTTTTTTTTTTTTTCTTTGCGGTACGTGGGCCCCTCACTGTTGTGGCCTCTCCCGTTGCGCAGCACAGGCTCGGGACGCACAGGCTCAGCGGCCATGGTTCACGGGCCCAGCCGCTCCGCGGCATGCGGGATCCTCCCGGACCGGGGCACGAACCTGTGTCCCCCGCATTGGCAGGTGGACTCCCAACCACTGCGCCACCAGGGAAGCCCTGTTCCTTAATCTTAACCATGACTTTATGATGTGTACCTGCCCTAGGGGGTTGGGTGCTAAAGGTAGGTAGCAGGACTGATGGGAAAGCCACAGGTCCATGTGGTCCAAGAGTCTGAAGGTGGGGTCAGAGCTGCAGGTGGCCAGGCCACAGCCCCAGCTGAGCCACTGGACCCTCCTATTAAATGCAGCACTAGGCTGAGCAGATCTGCCCTCCCGTCCTGGGAGAGGACCAACCTGGGCCCTGAGTGGGGAGTGGGCACGGGTGACCCTGGGTTGCTGCAACAAGGCCTCCTCAGAACCTTGCAGTAGTTAAAAGCATACAGACATTTCCCTCCAGCCAATAACCTAGCACCGCCCACACCAGTTCCTTTGTTGGGGGGTGGTCAGATGCTGCTTCCAGTTTCCAGAATGGGGTGTGTGTGTGTGTGTGTGTGTGTGTGTGTGTGTGTGTGTGTGTGTCTAAGGAGTTCCAGAGCTGTGGCCAGGGGCTGAGGTCCTCCTCCATCCATCATCCCCCTGCTCTGGTCTGGCCTGGTCAGACCACTCTCCAGTCCTGGAGGATTTGGATGTGTCCCCCAGGTCCTGCCTCAAGTGAAGGGCAGGACACTCAGTGCAAGGGACACACACACAGTTACTCTCACTCACCCACCCCACAGGCTGTCCCAGAAGCGGGCTCATGACACGCCCCAGTCATGCCCATCCCCCCTCCGGCCTTGGGGTGCACGCCCCTGCCCGCCCTGGTCACTGTTTGCTAGGTACCCTCCCTGTGTCCTTCTTCTGTTCCCACATTTCCGCTGCTCAACACTGACTATAAGCTGAGTTCAGACGCCTTTGCCTGCAGTCAAGGCCACCATGACCAGACTCAGCCCCTCTTTCTGGAAGATTCAGCACATCCTGAGGTACCACATGCGGTTCCCCTTGCCCTTCTCCTCTCTGCGCCTTTGCTCAAGCTGTCCCTGCAGCCTGTTCCCACCTTGTCCCAACACAAATGCCTGACCTCCTGTGATCCTGCTCCCCGGGCTGCCCTCTGTCTCAGGGGACAGCCCCTGACTCTGTCCTTGCAGGAGCTGCAGCCTGGTACTTCCCTGTAGACCACCACTTCAGCCCCACACCAACTCCTGTCCTCTGGACCTCCCCAATCACGTCCAAGGCCAGCCTCCCCTCTGTCTCAGAAGCCGCTGCCCCGGGCCAGGCTGCCATCACTCTCCTGGGACCTTGATACCGCTCCTGTACCCACTCTTGTCCCCTACAGCCCAAGTGAACTTTACGGATCTGATCTCCTCACTCTGCTCTATAAAACTTCCAAAGCTTCCAGTCGCCTCTAGGACAAGGGCCTTGGTCGGCCACACTGATCCTCTCTTGGGCCTTCAGGTCTGTATCTTTGGGACCCCCATCCACGCCATCCTCACTCCCTCCACCAGTCACTCTTCCCTTCGTTAGTTAGCCCCTCCGGTCCTCAGGCACCCCTCCTCCCTCCTCCGGGATCCCTCCTAGGATCTCTGCAGAGATCAGGCCGTTGGGACCAGCCCTTTCAGCCCCTGTACAGTCCCCTCCCAGCCCACCGCCCTCTTGTCATAATTTACTGCATTATTCAGAATGGTTTGCGCAGCCTCAGCCTCCCCTGCAGGACTGTGAGCCCCGTGTGGACCCGGTTGTCTGTCCTGTTTGTCACTGTGACCCCAGCACCCTCCCCATAGGCCCCCTCACTGGGTTTGCTTTTCAGCTTGACTCCACCCCAAGGCAGGAGAAAGGGGGCCCGAGGTCCCTTCTGCCCTGCTTCCGCCCTTCTCTCCAGGAACCCCTCCCTGCAGAGGCCATGGGGTTTTCAGGGTGGCCCTCCTTGCCCCTCCCACAGTGATCACCACCCCGACAAGGGCAAGTCACCAGGCTGCTGTGCGCTGGAGCGCACCCTGCCCCCCACTCCCCAAGCCCCAGTGCCTTGCATAGCCCTGGGTTGGTGATACTCGAGGGGGCGCTGCTCTCAGCTCAGGCTTGGCAAGACCCGGATGGGTGGCCTGGGGGTGGGTCAAGCGGGAGCACCCCCGCCCCCAGCCAGGGGCCTGGGAGAGGAGCCAGAGGGGCGCAGGGAGGGGCTACAAGGGTGGCAGTGCCCTATTCCACATCCATTCCCCTCCCAGAGACCCCTCACCCCCAGCTGGCTTCCGCCACTCCAGCTGGCCCAGTCTCTCCCCGCACTCTCCTCCCTGATCCCACAGTCTGCCCCTTCCCCCCTTCTGCCTTCCCTCACCCCTCTCTCCTGCTCACCTTCCCTTTCCCTCCCCACCCCTTTCCCTCCCCCTCCCCCTCTCCATTCCCTTTCCCCATCCTCTCCTCTCTTCTGCCATCCTCTCCTCTTTTCTCTGAGTCCTTCTCCCTCGCCTCCTTCCTTTCTTCTTCCTGGGTTAAAAATAATCAACTTTCTGGGAAGCAGCAGCTCCTGCTGAGCCGCCCTCCCCACACTTGGGAGCCCCTGAGAATAGCTTTCTGCGGTTCTCAACTCGAGCCCCTCCTCTCCCCCACCCACCGCCCCTCTCCCCGCGAGCTGACTAATAAGCCCGGGCCGGCAGCAAAGCCAGCTAGGCTAGAAAGGCTTTAACCACTTCGTGCCCAGACAGCGGGATTGGCGCTCGGCCCCCTGCAGGCCGGCCGGGATGGGGACCCCGAGTCGTGGGCAGCCCCGGAAGCCGGCCAGGCAGCAGCCAGACCCGAAGCTCTGAGCCGCACGTAGTAGACGCTCAATTAATTTTGGTGCTTCGATGAACTTTGACCTGTGACCACCAAACCGGCTCCTCCAGCTGCTTTTGCAGCTAACTTGGGGCTTGGAGGCAGCGAAGCGACATCGCAGACACCCAAGGGATAGGGAGGGGCTGATACTTTGGGGTCACAAGGAGGGTGTGACTGGGCCGGTGAGTCTCCCTCCCCTTGGCCTGGCAGACTCCTTGCCCCCCCGCCCCGGAGCTGGGCACTGCCTGAGGGGGGCCAGGACTGTGCCCTCTACAGTGTGGGCCAAGGGCAGGGAGGGGCTGAAAACCGTCCTGGGATCCAAGAACGTCCACCGCTGGTCTGGTCTTCAGTGATCTTCTTGCAAAAGGGGAAACTGAGTCCCGGGGGAGGCAGTACGTCTCCGGGTTCCTGCCGCAGACCTTAAGGGATGCAGGGCCACCCGAGACCCTCAGCTCCACCACAGGGGTTTCTACGGGTGTAAGGCTGCGGGGTGGAGGGGCGGGGGACATCAAGGTCAAAGGTGAGGGGTAGGTGGGGAGGGAAAGAACTCAAATCCTGCGAGGACCCCGCCGGCTCCGCCCACTCCGCTAGGTCCCGGCATTACCTCATCGCGGCGCGTGCCCATTGGCTGGTTCCCCCGGAGGCCGGCCCAATGCGGCGAAGCTCGTTAACCCTTCCCGCCCCGCGGACTCAGCCTAGGCCATGCCAGTTGTCCCCGCGGCCCCACGCGGCCTTCGGGAGTCCACGGGCCACGGAGACCGGGAAGGGCACTTGGGGGGCTGGCCCGCAGGCAGAGAGCTCAGTGTTTAGAGCACAAGTTAGTCAGCCTCTCTCGGGCCCCATCCTCCTACAGGCTGTGTGACCTTGGGCAAACAACCTCACCTCCCTCAGCCTCCTCTACTTGTTTTCTCAGCTGTAAAAAGAAGTGAATGATGTAACTCCTGCCCTTCCTAATTCCTTTCCCAGTATTTGCCAAGTGCCGGGCACACGTGGGCTCCGTGTTCCACATTGCCTCCTCACTGCAAGAGGTACACTTATGATTATGGGTTTTCAGAAGAAGAAAGCGGCTCAGAGCAGAGAAGCGCCTCCCAAGGTCACACAGCACGAAAGTGACAGAGCTGGGATTTGACCCCAAGCCTGTGTGCGTTCTGAGCCTGGATTCCTACCCAATGCAAGATACTGTTTCTGCTGGGAGATGCTGCTTCTCGGAGCTCCTGGTCCCGCAGGAGGGACAGGACTCACATCCCCAGACAGGCCACGCAAGAGGAGACTGTGACCTAATAACACCAGTGACAAGCTGGAGAGCCAGGGCCTCCAGGGAGCGAAGGCTTCCTGCAGCAGGAGGGGCTGGAGGTGAACATTCAAAGGGGGAGGCGGGAGGACCCTTGGATAAAGACAGAGGATGGGGGCTTTCCTGGTGGCGCAGTGGTTAAGAGCCCGCCTGCCAATGCAGGGGACACGGGTTCAAGCCCCGGTCTGGGAAGATCCCACATGCCGCGGAGCAGCTAAGCCCGTGCGCCGCAGCTACTGAGCCTGCGCTCTAGAGCCCGCGAGCCACAACTACTGAGCCCACGTGCCACAACTACTGAAGCCCACTCGCCTAGAGCCCGTGCTCCGCAAGAAGAGAAGCCACCGCAATGAGAGGCCCACGCACCGCAACAGAGACCCAATGCAACCAAATATAAATAATAAATAAATTTTTTTTAAAAAAAAAGGATGGATGTGCAGTGGAGGCACATGAAGTTGGGTCTGGAAGCTCTGAAGAAGCCTGAAGCATCCCCTGTGGCCGACCTCCAGGTCCAGGGTCAGCCAGCCGACGCCGATGTGGAACCCGGGCGGCTGCTCCTCTCTGGGCAACACTGGAGGGCAGGGCACAAGCAAAGGCCACATACCTTGTGTCTAAGTATTTACAAGTTATAAATCAAGCTACCGAACTACTAAATAAAATACGTTCTGTCCTCCTTCCCTGACAAATACACCTTCCTAAGGACAAACACCCCTGGAAGGCTGGGTTTGTAATTAGAAGTCTCGGGCCCCTGGGGTCCATGCTGGAAGTGGCAGCACGAGGAGAGGCAGCCCTGGCCTCCGGTTTCCACTCAGTTCCTCTTTTCTTTCTGCGCAGCTTTTGCTCTTTTCCATGAGGGGCTTTACGAGCTCGGGTGCTGACGCTCCAGCCTGCATGAGTAAACTCTGCCCACACCCATTGCAAACAGCCACCTCTTGGCCACCCCTAGGAATTGGGGTACTCAAACAGGCAGCTCAGACCACCCCCAGGAGGATGGACCCAGGAAGTGGGCTGGGGGGCCTTGAGCAGGGAATTCCATGGTCTCAGGTGCCCAGATCACAGATTCCTGGCCCCATGAGGAAAGGCACAATCAGAAAAGGGCCAGAGTGCCGCTGTCTAGACTGGGACTGGGGTCTGAGGACTGTGCTGTGGTCCCCGGGCACTGCTGCAGACTGGGGTGGCCCAAGCTGGACGCGGCGCTTCCCCTCTTTTTGGAACTTGCCCCTGACCATCACTTCCAGCCATGCACCTGACCCTGCCCAGTTCCCAGGTGCCATCGCTGACTGCTTCTCCCCAACCCCCAAGCCCAATACTTACCAAGACCTAAGGAGCTTCCCACTTCAAGAAGTCAGCTCCCTTCACCCTGTGCCCACTGCCCCTGCCCCAATCCAGGCTGGGCCCCCAGCTCCCACTCTCTGCTCACCTCCCTGCCCAGTCTGCCCTTTATGTCCCCCAGACAGATCTTTCTAATATGCAAGCATGATTGATCACTTCCTTCCCTCTCTGGCTCTCCAGGCTTTCAGAGTAGCATTCCCAGGCTCTGGATATCTGGTTCCTCTCAGCTTCTCCTCCCCTCCCTTCACCTTCGGTTCTAAGATCCAGCCATTTGGACCTTCTCTCCAGTCTGGACAGCTTTATGTCCTTTCTGCCCCAGGGTCTTCAGGCATGTCATTCCCCTCGCCTAGAACCATGCTTTCCGCTCTTCATTTTGCTAATATCAGCTTAAGAGTCCCCTCCCCATGGGACCCTGCCTGAATCCCCGGATCAGCAGAAGTGACACCGTAATGAGCCGATTCTCTCTGGAGTTACCCATTTCAGGTGTTTCGCATCTGGGCTGCAGGCGCCAGGAGGGCAGACTTGGTCTGTCTTGTTCACTGCTCCATCTTCAGTGCTGGCAGAGTGACTGGCCCAGAGTAGGTGACGCTGCAAGTTCATTGGACAGATGGGTCTGCACTGGGCTAGAAATCGGACTGATGGGAGCTCCTGCAAGCCGCGAGGTGCAGCCCCCAAAAAATATATATAGAAATCAGGAAGCTGAGAATGACAGTATCCATTGCACACTGTATACCAAGCCCTGCTTTTATTCATAGTGTATGCTTATTTCTCACAGCCATTTTTGAAATAGGAACTATTATTCTTCCCATTCTACAGAATGAGAACACTGAGGCACAGAGGGTTCAGAGACTTAGGCTCACGGCTGGCAAGCAACAGGCCCAGATTTGAACCTGGGCAGTTGAGTTCCAAAGCTCAACCACCTCCCTCTTCCCATCTAGTCCCAGCTGGGCCAGTACCTTGCTGTGGGTCCCTGGGCCACTGTCTCTACCTCTCTGAGCTGAAGATTTTCTGTCTGTGCAACATAGGGTTGCCAAAGTGGTGATCCCTGAGCTCTCTTCCAGGCTGACACCCTGGGGTCTCATGACGCTTCCTGGCAAGTTCCCCTGATGATCTGCCCTTTGGTGAGTACCTGCTCTCAGGCCCCGTCCCCAGGTCTCAGGCCAAGGCTCTCTGTGGGGGTCCTATGGGTGATGCCCAAGGAGTTGAATGGATGGAGAACAGTTGGGTGTGAGTTAGGCAAGGCAGGTGGGGGTGGTCAGTACTTAGAAGCTGTGGTCAATTTTCCTTTTTTAATCAGTGAGCCCCAGAGGCAGGAGGCAGGGTCCATGGCTCCCCTCACCAACTTGACCCTGTGGTTCTAGAACTCATCTCTATTTGAAACGTTCCACCTCGGACGGGCAGGAGCCCAGAGTACTCGGCTGGGTAACCAAACTGTCTTGTCATCATGGCCAGCTGGTGCTGGGCCTGCCCCTCCCAGGGACTGCACATACCCTCCAAGAGCTGAGCTGCCAGGTACTGGGGTTCAGGCAGAGACAGGAGGCTAGTGGTCCAGGGGGCCTGAGCACGGCAGTCATGCCCAGGGGGCACTTGGAATAGACTCAAGCTTGGGTCCCCATGCCAGAGGGGACACTCCACCACATCTCGGGGACTCATCACAACAGCCCTGTGGGATATGTACCCATTTTCCAGAGGAGGACACTACATGAAGACTCAGAGAGGGACAGTGACTTGCCCAAAGTCACACAGCCAGGAGGAGGAGTCTGAATTTTGCTCTTAATCACTCTGCCCCCTGCTTCAGGCAAAGGTGTTCAAAACACATTCGTAGGGACTTCCCTGGTGGTCCAGTGGTTAAGACTTCACGCTTCCAGTGCAAGGGGCTCAGGTTCGATCCGTGGTCGGGGAACTAAGATCGCACATGCTGCGTGGTGCGGCCAAAAAAACAACAAAAAACAAACACGTTCATAGACAGAATGAGTATGAGTGAAGTGATAAGAAAAGTTCTGGAAGAAACTCCGGGACACAAATGCAGGTCCGCGTAAGGGAGTGGTTTTTTGGTCCTGTTTTTGGCCGCACCACATGGCTTGCCGGATCTTTGTTCCCCGACCAGGGATTGAACCCGGGCCACGGAAGTGAAAGTGCCGAGTCCTAAGCACTGGACCGCCAGGGAAGTCCCGATGTAAGGGAGTGTTTATAAATGCGCATGCGTGCCCCTTCTTCACCATCCCAGCATCCCTCCTTCCCTGCCTTTCTCATGCTGCCTTCATGTATTCACTCCTTAGACCCTAAGCTCCATGAGGGTAGCAGCTGATTCATTCCTCACCATGTACCCAGGACATAATTCCATGCCGGGCACACGGAGGTGCCAGTGAACCCCGGTGAATGAAAATACAAGGGACTCCAAGAGCAGCGCGTGGCCGCTCCGTACCCCCCCATTTCCGTGTGCCCTTTCCGTCTCCCCGCTCTGGCCTCTGTTTCTCCATCTCTGCCTATGGGGTGGTGCATGCCACCCTGAACCTGAGCTCAGGTGAGCTGCTGGGCTCCTGCTGGGCCAAGGGAGGGGCCCTAACACCCAAGGGGCAGTGGGGACGAGGGTGGATGCTGTGAGGTTCTACGCTCATCTTCCCCATCTCCTTGAAGAAAGCGGGTAACTCAGTTCCTTCCCCGCGTCTGCCTTTCTCCCCTCCTTATTCTCCTGACTCTGGTCACTCTCCAGGAGAGGTCCACCCTCCTTCTCTACAAGTAGCTCTACAAGCTACTTGTCAGGAACCCCAAGCAAACACCCCACCCCCAGGGCTTGGCACAAAGTGTCCCAGGGACCCAGTTTGCCAGAAGGGAAGGGCATGACCAGGACACTCAGTTGGGGAAGGGCTCACACAGGGGATGAGTTGCACCTACCACAGCTCAGTTCACTCACAAACTCGGCCCAGCAGGAACCCAGTAGCCCTGAAATAACATCCACTCTGACACTTCTGAGTTTCTGCAAGGCACTTTCAGTGTGACCCCATTTTACAGATGAGAAAGTTGAGACTATGGAGAGAAGTGACCTCAAGGCTCTGGTGCTGTTCAAGTCACCAAATATTCCTGAGGCACTGGAGGGGTGGTGGGGGTGAGAGGGTGTGGGGGTGGGGAGCATCTAAGACACTGTCCTTCCGCTCCAGTAGCTGTGGTCTGGGTGGGAGTGTGGCTGACCAAAGCCCAGGTAAGTGTGTGTGACCTGAAGGTGAGAGGGCCAGGCCTGGAGTGACTCTACTGGGAGTGAGGACAGCTCCTGGCACAAATGGGGGCAGGTACTCACTTGAGAGGACCTTGATGGAGGTGGGACTGGGACAATGTTGGCCATGGGAGGGGGTCACGGGTCCAGGCACTGACTGAGCCAGAGTTGGTGCAAGGCCCTGTGCTGGAGTGGAGGAGAGGAGGGTGGGTCCCTGCCCTCACCGGAGTGCGGAGGGTAAATGCCATGGCGGGGAAGCAAGATTAGAGTCTATAGGACCCAGAGGAGGGGCACCACTGTTGAAAGGTCTGTGTGTGAATGTGTGTGCGTCTGTTGTGTGGCCAGGGTACGTAAGGTGTGCACATTGAATGGTCTGTGTGATATGGGTGGGATGTGTGTCTGCGGCCTATGGCATATGGAGTGTGTACACACGCAAGCGTGTGTGTGTGCCTTGGGGTGTGTCTGTGCCTGTGTGCTGGTGTGTGTGTTGTGGGGTGGTGGTAACTGGGACACTCCCCAGGGGAAGAGCTAAGGAGAGATGGCACAGGTGTTAACCAGGAAAACAGGGGAGCAGAGGAGGTGTTCCGGGCAGAGGGAGGGAACAGCACATGCAAAGACCTCTAGGCAAGAAGAGGGCGCCCAGAGCACTGGAGTACTTGAAAGAGTTCCAGTGAGGCTGGGGGACGGGTAGGGCGGGTCTCTTTCTCTGATAGCTTGAGGGTGTGCCGGGCAGGAGTGCGGGTGGGAGTTGGGGGGGAGGGGGTGCGCCGAGAGGGTTCAGCCGCACTGACCAGGCGGGAAGGGCGGGCTGGACCAGGGGCAGATGCTGGGTGGTGGTGGGGCCGCGTTTGCGTAACAGCCAGAGCCCCGGCCACGCACATCTGGGAAGCTGTGTTGTCTGGGATCCCGGACCTGAGCCTAATCCGGCTCAGCCGCTGAGAGCAGTAGCTAGAAGGTTCTTAGTTTCCTGTCTATAAATTGGGTCCCGAGATTATATGTCAAAGACCCAAGAAAGAGCCTAAGAACTGTCCACGTTTTCAGTGCAGTCTGTGTGTGTCTCTGGTGAAGGGTGGGGTGGGCATTTGCTAACAAGCTTTCCCAGCACCCCAGGAGGCCGGAGATGCGGAAGATGGCAGCCCTGGCACAGGGCTCAGCTGTTAGTACCTGGCCTGAGGGCACAGAGGAGGGCATGGGGTGGGCGACGAGAGCCAGGATTTCAACCCAGGTGACCGGACTCCAGAATGGCCCTCTCACCTGACTGCGGTAGGTTCATAATCTGGGTCACGCGCTAACAGCTGCCCCAGAGCCTTCACTTTGCGTAGTCTTTTCTTATATATTTTATCCTTTTTCTTATTTCTTGCTAGATTATCAGTCGTGATTTAGAAATGAGAAAACTGGCCAGGACTCAAACCCGGGCGGACCTGCTCCAGAATGCGCCCCCTTCCCCCACCTTGTATGTATGCAGCCGGTTTTCCCAGCATATGCGGAAACGGCCCTCAACTGCAGGTGGCTAAGAGCCTGCGGCAAGGCAGAAAGGACTTGGGCCCGGAAACTCAGCTCTGCTGCCCACGTGCCGTGTGACCTTGGGTGAGTCTCTTTCCACCTCTGGGCCTGGGTCTGTGCAATTCCCTTACTGAGTCTGGGAAGATTTGTTGAGCACCTGCTAAGTGGGAGATGAGACCGACGTCCAGAGAGCCTAAAGGACTTGCCCAAGGTCAAGCAACCCGCATAATGCGACTCGGATTTGAACCTGGAACCCCAGTGTGTGCCCTTCAAGGCGGCCTACTCCAAAGCCTCCAGGAGTGCTGTCCCCGCCCCTAGCGGCCCGCAGCGCGGGGCTCAGGGGCCCCACGCGGTTCCGGGCCCGGCCAGCCTGACGTCAGGCCGGGGCCAGCGGGGCCTAGCTCTGCACAGACAGACGGCGCGGGCCGGACCGGGGGCGGTGATGACTCAGGGCCCCGAGACGGCCGGGAAGCGGAAAGTTTTGTGCAGATGACATCACCGGGCCGCGAGGGCGGGAGGGGGCCGGCTCCGGAAAACGGCGGCCTGGCGGGCAGCCCGGCCTAGGGCAGGGCGCGGGAGGGCGCGGGCGGGAGGAACGCGGGGTCGTCACGCTCCGCCGCGCCGAAAAATACCGACCCCCCTCACCCCCGGCACCCCGCTCCCAGCCCCCGGCCCGGGATCCAGGCCCTGGAGCCCGATTCCGCGCTTGCCGGCGAGGAGCAGGTTCCACCCGCCTGCTAAGACGCCGCGCTCCCCAGCGCTCCGGAGGCAGCCGCATCCATCCTGCTGCGTCCCTGCATTTTAATTACCGCCGCATTAATATTCATGAGCCGGGACTCGAGGGGGACCGCGGGCTGTCATTTCCCTCGCCCGCGCACCCCCGCACCCCTCTTCCCCGGCTGAGTCGTGGGCTTTTTTCCCTCCCGCTCCCAGCCCCGCCCGCGCCAACAGTTGGTGCACGGCCGATTTGGGGTGTGTGTGAGCAAGCATGAGTGTGAGCCGGTGTGGAGGCCGTGGGCAAGGGTAAGGGCCGGGTGGGGAGGACCTGAACGCGGCATGGGGGGCGGAGTGAGAGGGTGGGATGTGCCCGCGAGGTCTAAGTGTAAACGTGTATGAGTGTGGTTGTGTGCCTGTGTGTCCGCTTGTGTGAACGTGTGTGCCCGAGGGAGCACGGGCCTGCGTGTAAGCCTGTGTGAGGGCTTGTGTGTGTGTGTGAGCGTTGCCTGTGTTCCTCTGGGCAATCCCAAGGGCTGTGTGTAAGTCTGGGGGAGGCAGCTGTGTGCAGTCTGGCTTGGGGCTGGGGGAAGGGTCACAGGGTCTGACTGTACAATGGGGAAACTGAGGCCTGGGGAGAGGCTGGGCCTTGTCCAAAGTCACCCGGTGAGTGAGTGGCATGGAGGGCCCAGAACCCAGGGCCTGGGTGTTGGGTGTTTTCTGCTCCCTGCTCTCCTGTGCCGTTGTTTACAACAATGGCAGACAGAAGGTGCTGGAGCTGGTACCTCTCATGTGCTCTCCCCAGCAAACCTGTGCCGCAGGGGCTCCATCAGGCCCCTTTGCAGATAAGGACACTGAGGCAGTGGTCTAGCAGGCGAAGGGTGAAGCTGGAGCCCAGAGATGTCCAAGTCCACAGCCCCTGGCTTTAACACCCATGCCATGCTGCCCCCTGTGGAACTGTTTGTGTGGGTCCCCTCTGGGATGATCCGGGGGTACCTGAAAGTTCTTCAGGACCGCCAGCGCTGCAAGGGCCCAGGCATCAGAGGGGGTTTCACCAGAAGCGTGGCTGCTTCACCGTGGCATTCCCAGTGCCCCAACTTGCCCCCCCCCCCCCCCCCGCTTTGAAGCCTGCGCGTGCTCCCCGCCCCAGCCCCCAGCCCAGGCACATCAGGGGCTCAACAGGAGGTCTTGCTTCACAAGGGAGCAGGCCACAGACTTCAAGGCTCCTGGCCCTCCTCCTTGGGCCTGGGGTCAGGCAATCACTCATTCATTCATTTGTTCATCCAACTGATGCTTAAGTGCCTACTGTGTGCCAGTTACTGTTCTCGACACTGGGGATTCTCTGAGTTTAGGAGGAACCCATGCCACTCTGTTCCCAATGCTGGTCATCTCCACCCTGGGGTGGAGGTCTCTGGGCTCTAAGAGGGGATTTTCTGTGCTCAGGCTCACTTGGGGTGGGGGTCTAGGGCACCTGTGCACAGAAGACAGTTTCCCACCCCCGGCCTAGCCACAGAGGTCTGCGTGCACACACAGTGGGTGGGCCAGGCAGAAAAGGGCCGCCGTCTTGGGGCTAACGCAGGGCGGAGCAGACCAGGCTAGGCAGCCTGGATCTTTGCTTCCCTCTCCTTCTGGAATGTGTCCTTCTCCTTCAACTAACCCCAGGGGCTGGCCAATCCGTCTTTCCCTGGGTGAGGCAAGGCCTCCCTCCCTCTCACGTCTACCCTGCCCCAGTCCTGCCCTTCTGAGCACCCAGAACCAGCTGTTTCCTCCTCTCCGCCCACACGGGGCTGGGCTGGAACTCATCTCCCAGCCATATCCCCTGAGTTTTCTCCTCCCCTCCTGGGAACTCTATGGGAACATAGATAAGGGGACAGGAGGGACAGTCTGGGGCTCTCTGGAGAGGAAGCGTGGTTTCACTGGGCTCCACAGGTCAAGTAGGTGTTCACCCTGTGAATGGTGGGGAGAAGGGAGGAGAGGCATCCCCGGCAGTGGGAATGGCTCAGAGCGATGGCTGAGGCCCCTCTTCCGGGAACCAGAGCAGGCCAAAGGCCCGAGATCTGGGGAGACCAGAGGGATAGATTTTCTCCTAAAGAGCTGGAGGCAGTACAGCCTAGTGGTCGGGACTCCCGGGTGAGCCCACCCTGGGTGAGACTCACACTACCGCCACCACTGTGAAGCTTGGGCAAGACTCTGAGCCCCATTTCCCCATCTGTCCAATGGGGAGAGCAACATATATATATATATATATATATATATATATTTTTTTTTTTTTTTGCTGGATTGTATTCAGATTAAGAGACACTGCCCGTAAAGCACCTAGCACAGTGCCTGGTGCTCCTACATGGGACAGTCTGTCCTCAAGGACAGAGGGAGGCCCCTGGGATAACTGTCTCCATATAGCCCAGAATGGGATTTAAGGCTCAGCCTGTGTCCCACAGTGGGGATGAGTTTGCTAAGGACAGTCTTCTGGGGCGAGTAGGGACAGGCTGAAGCCATCAGTCAGGGGAGGCTCAGGCTCTAGGTAACAGGAGGGTCTCCAAGCCCCACAGCCCCTGGCCTCACCTGTAGATCTCTGAGAAGGTGCTGCCAGATGGCCCATCACTCAAATCGCCGGAAAGCCATCAGTCAGAGGTGGCCTGGACCCACCCATCCTGGCTCAGTCCACTGCAGTCTTCTATGTCTCTGTCTCCCGGCTCTTTCCTTTGCAAATTTCTTTCTTTCTTTCTTTTTGGAATAGACATACCTGTACAGGTAAAAGAAAAAATTTTTTAAGGAAGTGCTGCAAAAGTTCACGCAGTACATCCTCACCCGTCCTTCTAGTTTTTTTGCACGTATGTTTCCAGGACATTTCTCTGCCTACAGAACTGTCTTTCTCCAACTCCCGCAGGATCATACCCACCTCTGCTCAAAGACCTTCAGTGGCTCCCTACCTTTATACAGCAAAGGTAGCTTTTCTAAGGCTTTTAGCAACACCACCCCGAGTGTGTTACCTCCTCTCAGGCTGCCATGCCTTTGCCCTTGCAAAGAGCCTCCACCAAAATTCCTCTTCATTGCAGCAAACCAGGCTTCCCTGTTTCTGGGCCTCCTCCCCCAGCTCCTGCCCTCCCTGCCCCCGACCTCACTCCTGGTGCCCTGCAGCCCCGGAGGTTCTTTTATGGTGGTGCTTTTCGCATTTAACTTTCACAAGGGTGTTACTGGAGTCGTGTGTTCTCACTCAACTATGAGTTTCTCGAAGGCTCTCCGGCCACCCCATTCTTAATTTTGTTGCCACCTACCTCGACGTCTTACACATAGTAGGTGCTTCAAATGTTTTATTTTTGAAAACATTCAACTTGCTTTTTCTTTAGGGACTCAGGCTCCAAGCCAGCAGATCAGGGTTTGAATCCTGACTCTCTCATTTCCTAGCTGTGTGTCCTTGAGAAAGTGAATTGACCTCTCTGAGCCTCAGTTACTTCATCTGGAAAATAAAGTCAATAATAAAACCTCCCTCCAAGAGTAACAGTGAGATGACAATGTATGTAAAACACCCAACATCAGCCTGAAGCAGAGCGCCGCTGACACGTTCTACTCATTCGAGTTATTCAGTCTTATTCAGTCTCATTCAGACTTGCCCAAGGCCACCTGTCCAGTTGTGGGCAGCACAGGGACTCAACTCCCATCTCTTCCTACTGCAGTGCGCCCAACTTCCCGCTGATGAGTGAGGCTCACAGGCCACTGTCTGTTTTGCAGATAGAACAGGGTCCAGAGAGGCTGGTCACACAGCCCTGTGGGCAAAGCAAGGATCAGTGCAGTCTGTGTGTCTGTCTGCCAGGTCCCTGGTGGGTTCCCCAGTCTGTCTGCCAGGTCCCTGGTGGGTTCCCCCGGCCACTTCCCCACAGCCCCAGTGAGACCCACCATCCTGATCAGAGCCTCTGGTCCTCCTGGTGGTCAAGGAATCAGCAAAGTGGGCCTCTTGGAGGCCCGGTGGCCCCTACAATTGGGACAGTCAATAAAGCAAAGAGCCCCCACTTGCGGGATGCTCACAGTGACCCCATTATCCCATCTTCCAGGGGCGCTCACTCAGACTCCTGCGGTACAGGGGCTTGCCAAAGGAGGGGTATGGCCAGCATTCTTCCTCCCCCAGCCCTCAGGACCAGCAGGACCGTGGGCTCTTGCCTGGGCTGTAACAGCACTGGGGCTGGAGCTGGGGGCCAGGCGCAGCCCAGGGTCGGGGGTGCTTCCCAGGTCTCGAAGATCATCTGGGGGCCCTTCCCCAGCCCTGGCCCCGCAGAGCCTGCCCAACTGCGTCTCTGAGCCGCACCCAAACTCTTCCCGGCTTTGCCAGGGAGACTGGAAATTTCTGCCCAGCAGCTTCTCTGGGAGGATTTCGACACGGCTCATGGGGGACGGGGAGGAGAAGCCAGGCTGCTGCGAGGCTCAGCATTCTCACGGCTCTGCTTAAGAGGACAGGGAGGGGGGCTTCGCTAGGCCTTGGTGAGTCCTTCAGAAATAACAGTAATAAACAACCAGCTCCAACAACAGCGACTGTGTATTGAGCACTTACTGCCTGCCAGATCCTGTGCTAAGTCAAGACTGGCCTAACGGAACCTTCCAGAGTGCAGGCGAGGCTGGCACTGTTACTAACCCATCTCACAGGTGAGCAAGAGGATCCGGTGGTGAAGGTGGCTGCCCCAGGCTACACAGCTGGAAGCTGAGGCCAAACTCTGGAACCCAGTAGGTGCAGGTCACTAACTGGCTGGGAGCGGGCAGGGCTGGAAGGGGCCCAGGGGAGGCTGGGGTGGGGGAAACACTAGGGCCCCCTAAAGGAAACTTCGATACACAGAAGTTAACCACGGCTCGACCGCGATCTGCAGTCCAGGGGAAGGCCTGCTTGGCCCTGGGGTCTCTGTTAGCATCTAAGAGTGTCCTCTTCCTACACTGAGTCCCCCTGGAGACCTCAAGGGGTCTGGAAACTTCTCCCTACAACCAGTCTTGGTAAACCAGTAATTCCAGACACCTCCCACCCCTGCCCGGCCCTGGGGCTGTGGGCGTCTGACACTGTGAGGTCAGATGCACGGGCCTGCTCACTGCGCTCCGGGGTCCCTGGAAAAGCACCCCAGTCAAATTCAGCCAGTGGCTAAGGTGCCCCTACAGTGTGCCTGGCCCTCAGACCCCAGGGCTGTCAGCAGACCCAAAGTCACAACCCGGGGAGAGGTGTGAAGGGAGAGTCTCAGGCCTTGGGCAAAGGAATGGGGCGGGGGGCGGGGGGAATCAGACACCCCGCAGTGATGACTCTCACTGGGCTCAGGTCCCCCACCCCTTAAACGGGCAAACCGATCCCTTCCCTCCCAGGCAGCTGAGGCTTCAGTGAGCTCCCAGGAACAGCGCAGGGAGGGAAAGGGGCCACCCCAGGCCTTGCTCCCCGCTCCCTCGTCTCCCCCACCACCACAACCCCCGCCCCCGGCCGGGCGCCGTTCCCCACCCGGGGCCAGGCCGCCGAGGGCGATGCGAGCAGGGCGCGGCAGCGGCGCGGGCCCAGGCGCCCAGTTCAGCGGAAAGGAATGTCTTGCTCGGCGGGGGAGGCCGCGGCCCCCGAGGCCGTGTAAACCCCGCCGCCCCTCCCCGGGCCTCATTTATTGCGGCTCTAAAGCCGGGCTCGTTCCGCCAGCCGGGCTGCTCCGCGGGTCCGCCGCATGACTCACCCCCGCGCCCCGCCGCCCACTCCCGCCCCCCTCCCGGCCGCCACCATCAGACCCTCTAACAACCTTTGCCCAAAGTAGGGGAGGGTCTCCCAATGGAGGTGCCCGCGCCCCTGCCCGCCGGAGCCCACCGCCCCGCCCCCACCCGCTGTGGCGCCCCCCCTCCCCTCCCAGCGCCGCCCGCCCGCTCCCTCCCCTCCCCTCCCCTCCCCCCTCCATAACTCAAAAGCTTGTCAAGCTGGTTCCAGACTCCTGGCGCCGGGCTCCGCTCCAGGAAAGAAAAAAAGGAGAAAAGCAAAAGGGAAAAAGCCGGCGCGAGGGAGCGAGAGAGAAAGAGAAAGGCCCGCAGAGCGAAACTGCGTCCCCGGACCCGCTCAGCTCCGTGGTCCCCGTCCCCCCAGCCCAGCCCGGCTCCCCTAACCCTGCTGGGGAACCCCCGCACCCTGGGGGCAGAGGGCGCGCCCGCAACACTGATCAATTATTTATGGGCGAATCAATTATTCAGCTGCCCCGGGAAGGGGAGGGGCGGGTAAGGCCGGGGAGGGGGAGAGCGGCTGCGGAGACCACCCCCCGGGAGGTCGCGGCTCTCCCGCTGGGCCTCGGGGGTCGGCAGGCGTCCCCACGCCGGGGGTCCTGTTGTGAGAAAGCTGCCTCGGGGTGGGCTCCAGGAGGAGCGCGGGGGAATCCGCAGAAGCAAGATAGCTGAGATACCACCCAATTAGATTGGGGAGAGGGGTGGAGAGCGGGAGGCTTGGGTTGGAAAGAGCTGGCTGGGGATGGGGTGGGTGGCGTGGGAAGAGCCCGGCCTGTGAATTCTTTCCTTTCTTACTTCATTCATTCCCATGTTTATTGCGAGCCCACTGCATGCCACTGTGCCCAGAGCCTAGTGTGGCGGGTGGCAGGAGAGGGTTAAGGGCAGGAATTTGGAGTTAGAGCTGGGTCCAATTCCTGGTTTGTACTGTATTCTCTCCAACTGTGTGCCCTTTGGCAAGGGACTTGCCCTCTCTGCGTCTCCACTTCCTCATCTGCTGGATGGAGAAGAGCAGAATGAGGAATTGAAGGAGGTGGTGTGAGGTTTCAGTAAAATGGGGCACTTGGGCAGGGCCTGGCACAGAGTGGGGTCCTCTGTTCACATTGAGGGGAATATGCCAAGGCCCCCAATATCCTTCCCTCTCCCCTGTCCCCATCTGTGAGTCCTGGAGAACCTGCATCTTTCCCTGCTTTCAGACACTGAAAAGTTATTATCAAAGCCAAGGACTCTGCCCAGGGCTCTCACCTCTGGCAGGCTTCTTACTAGCCTGGCCCTTCGAAGGCTAGTGCATAAGGCAGCTAGAGGGGTCCGCGTGCGCCTCAGTGGAATCCGCTTTCTCCCCGCATCCTTCCCTCCTCCAAAGCCTCTTCCCTTCCCCATGTCCCCCATTCTCCTTCCGATCTGCTCCTCCCTGCTTCCCATCTGGGCTGGAAAGGTTTGGAGCCCTGAGGCCATGGGGACAAGGGACTGTCAGAATAGGCGTGGGGCTCAGACTCCCCTGTTCAGTGTGTCAGTATGTTTTCCGTCCAAGGCTCAGGAGCTAAGGAGGCTTCTGTTTTCAGACTCAGGATTGCCAAGGGGTTTACTGTCTTCTCACCAAATCTTACAGCAGCTGTATCAGGTGGACCTGGACAGATTCCGGTTTTGTGGGGCCTGAAGCTTTTACAATCTTGGGGACCCTGTTTAAGAAAAATGATGCAAAGTTATGAATACACAGTTAAACCCGGGGCCTTGACAAGAGTCCCTGAACCTGAAGCTTCATTAGCTTCTTGGTAAATTGCTACTGTAGGTGGGGGACACAATTATTCCTTCGCAGAGGTGGAAACAAAACCTGAGAGAGGGAAGTCGCTGGCCCAAGGTCACCCAGCTGAAAAGAACACCGCAGCTGGGATTCCAGCCCAGGTCTTATGCTACAGGCAACACCCTGAACTGCCTCAGTGCACTCACTTACCATCTTACTGCCTCATCCACTCTGTGTCATATCTCACCTGTCCCCACCATGGGTCCAGCCCAGGCAAGGTCAGGGAAAGCAGCCTTTGTCTCCAGACCAGCCCGTGCCCTCCGTCCCAAGGCCTTCATGCCCAGGGGCTCCAGCCTAGGAGACTTTCTGTCTTGTGACAACAACCACACAGTACCAGGAAGTAGGTCTCTTCTAACCTTTCCATTCCCACAGCTGTACCTGCTCATTCCAGAACCCAGGCTTCTCAACTGATGCCAAGGAACATCCGCTGTTAGGTGGTAAGCTCCCAGGGGCAGGGGCTGGTTCCTTCTCCTTCGGCAAAGTATTTCCAGCTCTCAGCACAGTGCAGGCTGTCAAAGTGAATTTAGTGGTAACGTCTATTCCCAGCTCAGGGAGGGGATGGGGTGTTAGGGACAGAGGAGACTTTGTTAAATTGCAGATTCCTGGGTCCCTCCAGACCTACTGAATCAGGCTCTCTGAGCACACGGCCTGGCACTCTGCATTTTAAAACTCCCTCAGGTGCATCTCAAGCTCAGTAAAGTTTGAGACTCACTGACCCAGGGGCCAGAAAGCACAAAATGCTGTGTCTCGACCAAGCTCCTCTCACAAAGGGGATTCATCTCCCCTAATTCTGGACAGTTTTACCTGTGCACCAAGCTCACCTTCCAGCTGAGAGCTAATTGTTTCTAACACTTACTAAAGACCTATTGTGTGCCTGGGACTGGATCTTAGACTTCAGACAGTTGACCTGATTGGACACTCACAAAAGCCCTAAGAAGTAGGGACAATTATTGTCCCCATTTTACAGATGGAGAAACTGAGGCCAGGGGAGGCAAAGTGACTTGCAGATGGACAAAGCACTGGGGAACGAGGAGGTTGGAATAGGAGAGCCGTCTGCAGGACCACTGGCCTCAGTAATTTACAAGGGTCTCGTGAGAAAATCCTTAGATGAGAATTTATACACTGCCTATGAATGGCTTGGAGAAATCAAACACGCTACAGTCACTAAAGGGATCTCAGGCTAAGATGTGCAACAAAATTAGGTGACAGACCCCAAAGAAATCTAATCAAGTAGGCCTCTTCTCCCTGGTATCTTTGGAGTCAGTGTTCTGGGGAATGGGTGTTCGCAGAAGGATTTGCTTCAGGCAAATCTTTGCCTTTTCTCTGCCTGCAGTTCTGGTACAAAAGGGAAAGGGCCAGGCCAGCAAGAGGAGGGAACCAGGGCTGGTGGTAGGCAGGCAGGCTGGCACTGCAGGCCAGCATGGCTCCCTGGGCTATCTGTAGGACCGTATCATGTGATTCCCGCCCCCCCAACCCTGGGCCAGTGCTCTGTGCAAACACAGCCTAACCCTCTCCTGCTCCAGTAGGATGATCAAGGCACTGGGGAGGTGTCAGGTGGGGAGGAGCTGATTTAGTGGCCTCTGTTCCTGGTGCCTGAGGAGCTAGTTGGGGCAGAGGGTGTGGACTTATTCTGGGAAGACCCAGAAGGCAGAACTAAGGGAGGTCACCCAGAGGTCACCCAGAGGGGTCTGTTTTGCCTCACAAGATAAACTGTCTAATTGTCAGGGCAGACTTGTAGGTAGTGAGTGCCCCACCTGGGGAGGTATTCAAGGACAAGTAGGGCATATGTGTGTGTGTATGTACAGAGCCATGACTCAGGAAAAGGATTGGCTGAGGCAACCTTGAGATCTTTTTCAATGTTGAGACTTTGGGAATTTCCATTCTTAACATAACTGACCTGCCCAAGTGGGGCAGATGGGAAAAATTAACAGAGACAGAAGGTAGCCACAGGTTAAGGTGCCCAGAATGGGAACCCACAGATGCTGGAAAGGCACCCAGGGGCACGGAACCAAGCCCCCAGCCCTTGGCCTTCCAGCAGAGCTGCCATTTCTTTGACATTAAGGTGTGCTGCTTTCTCTTGCAGTCATCTGTAAATGCTCATTAGCTCTTCATGATAGTGATTAATAATAATAGTAGTGATAACTGACAATCAATAACCGTAATACCCATAGCATGAACTGAGCACTTACTGAGACAGACTCTATGCTAAGCACTTTCTATATAAACCTGTATAATTGACATGACGGTCATACACGCAATGTCCTTACTTTTAGTATCATTCCCATTTTACAGATGAGGACACTGAGAGCTGACATGTGACCCAGGACTCAGAGCCAGGCTCAGGAAGTGAGCTGGGAAATGCCAGCAGAGGTCCAAGAAGAAACATGCTGCCCTCCCACTGTGGGGCTGCTTCTGCCCTCAGTGGCCAGGGACTCTGGCCTTTCCCAACCCCAGGGGTACACAGCAGCAGAAACTGGCATGGGAATAGGGAGAGGGGACCATCTCCTCCAATGCCCTCATTTTATACCAGGGGAAATGGGTATCGAAGAGAGGAAGAGACGTCTCAGTCCTCCACGTGGGCTTCTCCTGTGCACTCCCACCTCCTACTCCTCTTTAAAAGTGATATTTTAGAAGTTATTAGTGGTAGCTTATTAATAAGAAAACATTGTTAAAGGAATGAGAAGACCTGCCACGCGTCAAGTGGTTACCATGTGCAGGTGACGTGTGCGGGGATCGTTTGCTCACCTGTAATGGGGATGATAACGATGTTTCCCCGCTGACCTCACGGGAGGGGTTCACGGTTAAAGGTGACAGTGAACGTGACGCAGCTCTTTATAAACTGGAGGACACTGCCACCGTGACCATCTTTGGGCATAGAGATTAGAAGTAAGTGCTGAGGCTCCTATCAGGGAAACTGACCAGTATTTAGGGCCCAGAGCAATCAGTTCTTCCAGTGTTAGATCCTCCCTAGAAAGCCCCCCATTCATTTATGCATCTATCTGCCTGAAAATCATGTACTGAGCACCTGCTACGTGCAGCAGTATGTCCAGCCCAGCAGCTTTGAGCACAGGCTCCGGGTCAACCCTTTCCTGTCCTGAGTTCAGATCTCAGCTTCACCGCTCTCCAGCGGACGTGGCCCTCCCTCTGGGACCCTCCGTGTCTCCTGTTAGGATGCAGCCCGGCTGCTCTAGCAGAACCCAGGGAACAGCAGCTGAAGGAGAGAGGAGCCTCACGTGTCAGTCTAGGGGACTCTGTGCTGGGAGCCGGTCCAGGGTCTGGGCTCTCTCTGTCTCTTCCATCCCATCGGGGATTGCCTCCATCCACAAGGTGGAAGATGGCCACCACCTCCCCCTTCCCATTCTTTCCTGTGTGTGTTGGGGGGGACCCAGGAGGTGGAGACCGCTCCTCCCTTTTAAGGGAGAGCTGGACAGTGCCTAGATCACCTCTCTTGTATCCCATTGGCCATAACCGATCACATGACCATGACTAGCTGCAAGGGAGACTGGGAAATGTAGTATTTAGCCTGGCAGCCCTGTGCCTCAGTAAAACCCGGGAGAGGGTGTTCTGTTACTAAAGGGGAGATGGCAGAATGGATACTGGGCAGCAGCCAGCAGCCTCTGCCACGTAGGATTCAGGGAGGTGCCCTGGGGGAAGCACTCAGCACAGGGCCAGGTACATGGCTGGTGCTCGGGAAATGTGCGCTATCACTGGTGTCACAGGTGAGTGCTTTGCACTTTCCCAAGGGATACAGAGACCCGCTGAGAACCAAGCCCTGGAACTGCTCTGGCTGCCTCGTGGGGGCCTCCGTCCCGTGCCCTGCATCCTCTAGGTGATGGAGAGAAGCACTGAGAGACAGCAATCCTCCACCCAACCCCTCAGGACCAGGCTGGGGAGTATCTCAGGCCTCCTCTTTCCTTTCAAAGAAAGAACAGGAACGTGGCCTTGTCTTCAGGGCTTGGGGACATGGAGAGATGGGTGACATTGGGGGCCTTGCAGCTCTGCTGCACGGCTGCCTCAACGGAGCATGGCAACCTCTGCCAGCCCAGGGCTGGAGGCTGGGGTCCACCTTGCAACACTCAGGCTCTCAAAGCCTGGGCAGAAGACCTGGCAGGTGTCTTCGTTCCACACCCTCTGAATGCGGCACTGGCTGGTTTGAGCTTAGAGACATTTCCTGCCTAAATACTGCCCTCTGGACACGAAGCCCTTCTCAGCCCAAGGGGGGCTGGTAGGCAACACAGGAGGGGGAGCACGACCTCCGGTGGGCACTGTGCCCCCGCGGGTCCAGCTCACCCCCAGCCACGGATCAGGAGGCTGTCTTCTGCAGAGGCTGGGTCCACGCTCAGGAGCTGGGAGCCCCGGATCAGATCGGTCCTGGCTCTGCCTCTTAGCAGCTGCGTGAGCCTCTCTCTCCAATCAGTGGGGATGAGAAGGGCACCCATCTCTCCATCTTACTGTAAAGATGTATAAAATAATCCATGCGAGGTGCTTGTGGAGAGGAGGAGCTCAATGAACGGTGCCTACTCAGACCAGGATTATGACTATTATTTTCTTCCATCCGTTCCACACTTTGCCTGCCCCCCACCTGTCCACACCTCCCTGCTGGCGATGCCCTCCCATCCCGCAGTCTGCACGCTAAGCATTTTCCGAGGCCCCCAGATTGGGCAGGTCCCCTGCGTGTCAGCTGGCTTTGCATTGCATTCCAGCTTTCTCCTTCCCAGCACTTTCCAAATCATGATGCATTCATTGTTGGGTGAAGCACTGCCCTCCAGACGAGGAGTCCTGAGCCAGCAGGGAGTGTGCATATTTCATTCATTGGCATAGCCCTAGTGCCCAGCACAGGGTGTGGCAGCATGGTGAGGAGTCTAGTAATTGTTGGCGGAATGAGTGAATGAGTAAATGAATGAATGGCTGGATGAGCGAAGAGGGCGTTTTGCTGCCAGCCTAAGAATGTGTATTTAAGAGCAGAGTTCAGGGACTTCCCTGGCGGTGCAGTGGTTAAGAATCCACCTGCCAATGCAGGGGACACGGGTTCGATCCCTGGTCTGGGAAGGTCCCACATGCTGCGGAGCAACTAAGCCCGTGCGCCACAAGTACTGAGGCTGCGTGCCACAACTACTGAAGCCCGCGCACCTAGATCCCGCGCTCTGCAACAAGAGAAGGTGGAATGCTTCTCATACCAACGCAATGAGAAGTCCGTGCACCGCAACAAAGAGTAGCCCCGGCTCACCGCAACTAGAGAAGGCCCGCGTGCAGCAACGAAGACCCAGCGCAGCCATAAATAAATAAATAAAGAGCAGAGTTCAGAGACTTTGAAAGACTAATTTTAATTTCAGCTCTGTCACTGACTTGCCGGTGGCTCAGAACAGGATCCTGCATCTTTTTTATTTTTTCCACTCCCACCTCCTCCCTGCTTCTTCTGGAGTTTCAGTTTCCTCATCTGGAAACTAACAACACTTCACAGAGTACGGCAAAAGGAGTCACTGAGATCATGGGGAAATAATGCAGAGATACTGAGCTCCTAACACATAGTAACTGCTTGGTAAGCGCTGGCTGGAATAATAGCTATTGTTTTTTTTTTCTTTTTTTCTTGAAATGTGGTTGATGTACAACATTATATAACAGTGACAGATGTCCAGTACAGCGACTCACAATTTTTAAAAGTTATACTCCGGGCTTCCCTGGTGGCGCAGTGGTTGGGAGTCCGCCTGCCGATGCGGGGAACGCGGGTTCGTGCCCCGATTTGGGAGGATCCCACATGCCGCGGAGCGGCTGGGCCCGTGAGCCGTGGCCGCTGAGCCTGCGCGTCCGGAGCCTGTGCTCCGCAGCAGGAGGGGCTGCAGCAGTGAGAGGCCCGCGTACCGCAAAAAAAAAAAAAAAAGTTGTACTCCATTTATAGTTATTATAAAATATTGGCTAGTCATAACTACTGTTAATGTTCTTCTTGAAGCAACAAGGGGTTTGCTCTGCACTTTTATGTCAAAATTCCCCGGACTGACCCACTCTCCTTGACTACTGGAAAGCTCAGGAAGAGCTGACAAAAACTTTCATTCATTCATTCATTCATTCATGCATGCATGCATGCATGCACATGGTGATTCAGCAAACATTTTCTGGGTATTCTCTGGGTGCCAGGACCAGGGCTGGATGCTGCTGGCTGGGGGCAGAAAGGAGGGTCCTGCACGGAGGAGAAAACCATCGAGCTCATCCTCTGTGCAAAGGGAAGTGGCTGAGACCCTCTGTCCACATCCTGTCATTTACCCCCCCACCCCCACCCCACGGCTGGTCCATCTGTGTCCTTTTCCTGTGCCTCTTTCATCCCGGCCTGGGATGGCTCTGCATCCCCACCCCACCAGCAGCCATTTCCTGCCCTTCTCTCATCTGCTTCCTTTGATCCTTTTGTCAAGAGACTCTTAGAAGCCTCCGAACCGTTGGCAATACTGGCAACCTCCGCTGTTGGGCTGGTGACCCCACAGAGGTTGGAGCCAACACGGGCTTCTCTTGGGAGGCTGCCTTGGGAGACAGATGGATTCTGGCCTCATTCATTCATTCATTCACTCACTCACTCATTCAGCATTCCTCTTTGTTCACAGGCTCCAGGCCTGTGCGGGGCCCACAAAGTGAAAAAGATAGCCGTGGTCCCTGGCCTCACGAAGCTCCCACCCCGAGGGATGACGGCCCATCCCACACCAAGGGGATTCTGAAGGGAGATGGAAGTGCGCTGTTGGGCAGAAAGAAAACAGGGCCTTGGCTCCCAAACACAGGCCTCTGCCCTTCACCCGGCACGACCCCGAGGCCTGGCTCAGGGCAGGAACCTGTCGAGGGGGCAGATGCTGTCGAGGGGCTGCGGTTTACTGAGCACTTACCACACGCTGTGCACACCAGCTCAACCGTTTGTGCCGGGCGGGGATCTGCGGACTCCTCACCCTGGCCCTGTGGGGGAGGTACGGTTATTCTCCCCATTTTATAGACAAGAAAACGGAGGCACGGAGAGATGAAGAAGCTTGCCCAGGGCCTGCGGCTTGAAGATGGCGGAGCTGGGGTCTGAACCTTGTTTGCCTGAGTTCAGGCACCACACGGTTCCACCTCTTGGTGAAGGAATGAGGGGTGGGGTGCTCCAGGCCTAAGGACCCTGGACTCACCTCTGCTGCACAAGGTGGGGGACCCGCCCTTTCTGTATTCTGGCTTCAGTAGTTCCAGCGGGTGGCTGGCCGGGTGGGAGGGTGGGAAACGGTCAGGAAGGCAGGTGGAGGCCCACCTCCAGGGGACGCCCTTCAGAGGCAGCTGTGTGGATTCAGAGAGAGACCTCCTTTCTGCCCCACCCCCTCCTGGGGCCTCCAGAATGAGGGAGGAGGGGGAAGGGGGCAGACAGTGGGGTGGACGGTGGGGTCATCTCTGCAACAGGCCACGGCAGGGGCGGGGGAGAAGCGGGCAGGGCAGTATCTTCACAGCCCTGGGCCGCCACCTTTTCCTCCCCCAACGCAGAGGCGGCCGTTCCATCCATCCGTCCATCCGTCCATCCATCCATGCACTCAGTCACTTATTCATTCACTCACTCTCTCAATCATTCATGCACTCATTCACATGCCCACTCATTCACTCACTCAGATACCATGTGGACAACAGGGTACGCAGGTGAG